GAAAAAAAAAATACTAGAAGCATATCCCGCGCGTTGCTGCAGGAACTACTGATTTAGAATGAAATTAAACTATTCGTACAATTCTTAGAAAGGCATTAACTATTATAAACTAATTTTAGTGGGTAGCGTGACACGCTGATGTGGACACTAAATATATGTTAGTGGATGATGTGTTTCGCTGACGTGGATATCATAATTGCTTGTACTAGTGAACTTTAATTACAAATGATAATAGATTGCTGAGGTGGATAACTTACATGTCAAGATAATATTCTATAGTGGTTTAGAATTATAAGAGATATAGATACCGCCTAGATTGGATGCACGAAGGAAGCGAGTCCTCAACAGCAAGGACGTATGTGGCCAACTGAGTAGCCAACGGCACAAGCGAGTAGGGAGATAAGAACGTCCGTCCATCCCGATGGACCTCGCCTTCGCTGCCCGCCGCTCCCCATTCTGCATTGCATCCTGCCTGTGGTCCCTGCATCTTTCCTGGTCCCCACGCGGCCACGCGCGCAGTCTGCATCGCGTGAAGGCTTTGCCTCTTCCCTGGTCCTCACGTGAAATCCTTTCATCCACATGCAACACAATAAAGTGCTCCATATCCTTATTTTTTAAGGATGCATATCTCTAGTTGTGTGTGCATGTGCGCATATATGCGTATTAAAATAGAAACTAATTTGTCTGTGCATCCGTACCCTCGACCTCCGGGTCAGTGTCAGCGTCGAGCTCCTTATGTTTTATACGTTTTATATGTATGTTTTATATGTTTCATAGGGATGTTGCATAAGTTTTATCTGAATATTTTAAAAGTAGATCTAGTATGTCGAGCTCCATATATTTCATACATTTCAGATGTATATTTCATATGGATGTTGCATGCGTTTTATCTGAATGTTGCAAAAGTAAATCTAGTGTTGCAATGGCTATACACGTACGTTGCAAGTGTATATTCGTAATGTTTCAGCTGTTTTAGACGTATGTTACAAGTATTTTATTTGGATGTTGCATATATTGTAGTGGCTATACACATATATTTGCAACAATATATTTTAAATATTCATATGTTTTTAGACGTATGTTGCAACAGGTGCTTCATGTTACAATTGCTTCATGAGCTAGGAATATGGATGAAAACGGATCGGATACGAACGAATATCACTGATATTACATTTGTTTTCATATTTCTGTCCGGATTCGGATTCGAATACGGATATTGTCAACCATGACGGATAGGATACGATTGGATATCGACATCATAAATATGTGATTTAATTATTCGGATACGGATATGGTATCGGATGTTGAATATCCGGACTCGGATACGGTCAGATTTGAACTCCTCTAAACAGATTCGGTCTCGAATACGGTCGGAAAATATCCGTACCGTTTTCACCCCTACAAGCTAGCGCAGGCGGTCCAGCACGGCATGCGCAGCAGCAGCAGGCGCGGGCACAGCGGCAAGCGTGGGTGCAGCAGGCGCAGCAGCACGCGGGCACTTCCTTTGTGTTCAGCATTTATTCCTCCGATCGGATAACAGATTTTAGGCTTAAAGAAACTCTAGCGCGTACATAGCAGTGCTAAATAAATTATAGGAGAGCGGAAGGTTAATGAAAAGGCGCTGCAGCGTACACGGGCGTCCAGCCGCGTGACTAGATCCGGATGTCCGGGCGTTAGCGTGACCCTTATTTTATATAGTGAGTACACCGCAAAAGGCTACCTGTAATTTTGGACTTGAGATTTTATATGGTCAATGAGCTTGTGATGGCACGTTGGCTATCTCCATGATGTCTGACCACTCGTTTGCATTCTAGGTAGCGCATCACATGCATATATAACAGAGACGCCGTCCCGCTACGCGTGATTACTCAGACTCCTGGTATAACATGTGATGGCTGAGAGAGTGAGAGCTGCTCTCGTCGAACGGGACACACACCCATGGTCGCGGAGAGAACAACTGATTGAACGGAGGATGTTGATCAGAGAGAAGGAAGCAAAACACGCGTTAATTTCGTGCATGGCCTCAGTCTCCAACAGAGGCTGCGCACAAGGGTGCTGGGTGGGTAAGGATAGTCCATGTAGGAACGGTGCAGGCTGAGAGTGAGGTTGCTTCAACATGCCAGAAACATGATGCCATAACTTCATTTTCTAAAATAAAGCATATACTTCATTAAAAAAACTAAGATGAAAAACTCATACTAATCTCCTGATGGAAGTGAAATTCGCATGCAACCCCACACATTTCATTTCAGACGCATTGTGGTGGCTGTATTAGAGACATAAAGGCACGCCGAATAGGCGGCCTATCAGGGTGTCCACGTACGTTCTATTTAGTTGGTGCGTTAAATAGAAATTCCACGACTTAGATGAAGCGCGTCACAACCAGCCTTTCTCCATGCATTCGGCAGTGGATAAATGAAGCAGGTGGACGCATTCAATGAAGTAGAGCTTCCCTAGTGATTGTACGTGGTACGCAAATGAACGGTGGCGCATAGTAGGGGACAATGAATTCTCAGCATACATGGCCGGTGCCTAATTACCATGGTGATCGGCACGCATGCGGGTACACGTGCGTGCATGATGTTGAGTCCTTGCTTGCTTTGCATGCATGCATGAGCTATCTCTTTGGGTGGGTGCACTGGTGACACTGCTGGCATTTATGTTGGTTTGTGATGCATGAGCTATCATCTGCTTGCAGGAAGTTACCACGGGTATTTTCATTATTGTGCCTTATCCTTTTACATTTAAATATTCATGTATACACGGGTCCCTCCCTAAGCTATAAATGTAGGCTCCCCTTTACATACAGAAAATTTTCTATGGACGGTAAGAATTTACAGGACATGTAATGCCTTCTCCTTTTACATAGAGGAACTTACTGCCACCAATTTTTTATATGAAAGGAAGCAACCCCAGCTGAGACCATAGCAAGGACCTCTTTAACTGCCTACAGATTTACCACGAATATGTGCACCGTAGCAGCAACCCCAGGTGAGACCATAGCAAGGGCCTCTTTGCCTGCAGAAAATTTACCGGTTAGCAGGGATTTACATCACACGTGGTTAAAAATTTACAGGTGGCTTAAGACAATGTGGTAAACTTTCCTGCATGCATGAGTGTTCCCTAGACTATTTAAAAATTGTATGTGTTCTTGCCATTCAGATTTACCATCAACATGTGCACCGTAGCTACCTAATAGTGCCTCTTAAATATTTTGTTGGAGGTAAAATAGTACTTCTTTTACACCATGCATGCTAAGCTTCATGTGCCTTCGGTTAAAAAAATTCACACGCACAGCATAGGCGAGAGTAGGTGGATCCATCTAGTGATTGGCCTCCTTGCTATCAGTGCATGAAGAACAGCTCCCTCTTCGAGGAACATGCATCAGCATTTGTACTCACACAGCCATCCAAGCGTGCATGCACACCTTATTTAGGTTGGACCCCACTCCCATTGATCAGGTCCTTGCACCTGGTGGTGGCAGAGGCGCCCATGCCTCGTCCAACTCTCCAGCTCTTGCCTATATAAGCATGTGGTGTGCCGCCTGGTGCTTCATCGCTTCCTCCCATTGCTTGCAAGTGCCCTCCTTGTAGTTCATATAATTCACCCCTGCAGTAGCTTGTGTTGTTGTTCCTGGCCTTTGTTACACTAAAACCACCAGCATAGATGCCGTGGCATTTCTCAGGCACGGATAATGGCGTAACCAGCGGCACCGCGGAGGGCATCCAACTACGGTGCCAACAATGTCCACTCGCCGTCGCCCACAGAAGGGCCTAGGCTGGACGGGCGTGCGAGAGCGGAGTTGGGGCAGGTGGGCTACGGAGATCCGCATCCCACACACTCGACTCAGGCTGTGGATCGGCAGGTTTCGGCATGCCCTTGAGGCGGCCCTGGTCTATGATGCCGCCATGTTCTGCTTCTATGGTGAGTGCCTCCCCAGACGACGCAAGTTCAGCTTCCCGGCCGTCCAGCGTCCTGCCATCCCTGACCACCTTTGCATCCACCTCACCATAGTCACCGTCAGGGCGATCGCTGCAGACTACGGCCGAAGGTGTGCTGCGTTCCTCGCACCCCTCGTGTGCCGTTCAGTACCAGGAGCCCTGTCGGCACCACCTCTGATGGCGACGGTGCCAGGTACTGATGGTGCTGGTGCCACCGCCGGCGTTGAGGCAGCTGCCCTAACTGATGACCATCATGGGAACAACAAGAAGTATTTTTTAGCTGCCTAGGCAGTGAACAATTGTTTTGGGAGGGACCATCCCTTGGATCTGTGGTTTCCTTTTTGGTGAGAAATAGTTCTTCATATGTTACACCCACTATCCATTCTTGTGTTATGTCCAATGAGAATTAGGTGTGTGTGTGGTGTTAAGTCCAATCGATCTATTTGTTGACTGTAATTGTGATCGCGCCTGGCGCTGCCAATTCAATCCCTACCATAAACACCTATTGGAATGGTACATACAAATATGCAAAACAACAAAATTCACCCAACACCTACTAACATGGGGAACGAAAACAATTTATTTAGCTAGCGTTTTTGTAAAATTCGAAGCAAGAGGAACCAGAAACTTACATGAGCACCTACAGGGGTGGCGAGCACTGATGGGGTCATGGGCGTGGGCTTCCCCTTTGAGCCTCCCTGCACAACGGCCACCGATTAGCGTTGCCTTCGTGTGTCACGCCGCCGCCAACCCTAGCTTCAGTACGCAACCACAACAGCCGGTTCTTACCTCCGTGCGGATCCACCGCCGACGGTCGTGGCTGCCTTGCCTTCGGGGTAGAGAGATAGGGCGCCAGCACACCGCCGCGCTGGGTAGCCGCCGCGCCGATATAGGCCGTGCGCTCTTATTTGCCAGCTCACTCTTGTTCTTGTATATTCAACTGACAGTTCACAAATTCCCCTTTTTCAAAATGTTTGACAGATAAAGTGAAAATTAACATAGCCTCATGTACAGGACCTGAGCAATTTTCTGGATACATTTGTCACGAGATGTTGATCTTCAAAAACATCCGCGAAGCTTACTTGCAACATGGTAGGTTTTCTCACAATTTCTATAGCCTTGTACTTGAGATGCACACTGAAACTGAGCGCTCTGCTTGAGCTGACATTCAGAGATCAAATTGTTAAATATCTACAACTACTAATTGATCTGTTAGTATATGAACTGTAGACTGCTAAATCCTATTTTGCAGAATGCAAACAATTTGGACCATTTTAGGATTCTACATTTAGGCAAGTTTGCAGCAATCAAAATTCAGAACAAACCATAAGATGCAACATGAAAATTCAGTTCTAGGTTTCATGTCTCCTGTCCTGATGAATTATTGTAGATAAGATAATACTACATTGCAGGCTATACAACAATTTAAGGACTAAATTTTGATGGTTGAGGTACAAACCAAATTTGAGTCAAAAGTAAGCGGTTTCTGCTTGCTAACCCAAAGCAGAAAACCCTGAAATATAGAAATAAACAGAAATTTCAAATAAATTTGAGGGCTGATAGTGGAGGTACATTGTGGTGATGGCAAAGTAATAGTTGTTACCTTGTCTTTATAAAGGTCAACAGGTGCACATAGAGCCAATTGGAAGTTCTGTAGGATCACTGAAAAAAAAAGTAGTCATACCATGAGAAAGCATGTTTGAACTTTAGAGTTTATCGCAGGTGATAAATACAGAGACCATGGTGAATTATAAGATAAATAATGGATGCTACTTGAAAGTATACTCACTTTTGCCAGCATTTTTGGGGAAGACAACTACTGTCTCTACACCAGGAGCAGGGCTTAAAGGTCCATCACTGGAAACCTGTGTATCATCACCCACAATACCTAGATCAGCCCCTTCAACAACCTCAGCTGCAGCAGCATCTTCCTCCGATTCAGCTCTAGCAACTGTGCAAAGGGGAGGAAAGCTCAATTCAGTGCAAAAGACATGGTAAGGAAGGAAGGGTGTATGCGGAGTTGTATCAACTGTGGATATGGACAACATGAGACATTTGTTAAACAAGATACAGAAGATAAAACACATTCTATTTGCCAATTCAATAGTTTTACCAATGTTGGGTTGAGCAACAGGATAAAGCATACTTGCAGAGACAGTAACTTTTAGCATTAGCAATAATATCCACTTTGAGCTTCAGGCATAATAAGACCATTATAGCAAAAGTGAGTCAATGATAGAACACAAACAGAGAACTTATCCTAGCTGATTAAAAGACATGTGGTGCAAGCAGTTCATCATGATGAGTACTTGAAATTTAAACCCATGCTACTCACTTTAATTGTCTAATGTGAAGGGTGACTGCAGCTTCTACTTTCATAAGCATTTGTTAGAGTCGCATAGGATTACTAAAAGGCACTGATGTTGTATTTTAAAAATTTTACCAACTGAAAAATTACAGTCTGCATGACAGCAATGAAACCTTATCTGCCTATGACAAGTAGAATTAAAAAAGACAGTTGAAAAGCAACTCATAAAGAAGCACAACTGCACAAGTAACAAAAAGGTAGGTGTTCTTATCATCAAGAAGGGATAGCAACTTGCAGCAGGTGGCTTCACGTGACGGGAGAAGCTAATTTCTTTTTCCTTTCTTGATAATTATTTTCTCTGTTTTTGAAATTCACAACCTTCTTATTACTTAGAATTTTTCTCTGTTTTAGAAGCTGAGTTATACTAAAGAACATTTCGTTTTCTCGTGCAACAAACAATATGATTGTTTTGGTTTTCTCAGCAACCAACCTGATAAAATAAAATCAAATACCTTAGATTGCGCTGGTATCTGATGATGGATGCATCCACTATGCAGCAATCAGTGAGCTAAATGTCTATTATAAACTCTGAATGCATATGGGCCATACAGATTCTCATTAGCTAAGGCTGATTGTACTGTACAAGTTGCCAGCTTGAGGTTCACTGACGACTTCGGGTGAGTTATGAAGGATATTAGCATGGACCATAGTTAATGTTATTGAAGTTACAATAGAATCTCTTCCTAGAAAGTAGTACAGGATATTAGCATGCACATATCTTGTTCCAAAGTATCTTGTGGATCTAACTGTACATCTCCAAGCATGACAACAACAGTTTTGCGATCAACACTCAAGATTACTTACACTCCCAGAAGGAACGGCCAGACTTGCGCTCTGATACTCGGTTCAATCCCCTGTCAGAGAAGCACATGAATCAGCCTCACAGCTTCAGACGCTGCATAACAGCATTGTTGATGAGTTGGCGCAACTTACTCCGCTCTGAACTTTCTTCAGAATCTTCACTCCACCGTCCTGAAGCTTACCCTCCGGCGCCACTCCTGGGCCGTAAGCGGCGCCTTCCTACGCCGCCGCCACCACAGAGACTTGAGCCCGCCTCTGCATCCAAGCACGCGTTGAGGCAGGCGTAAGCAGAAGCATAAGCGATTCCAGAAGGTGTGGGGTATGCGGGGACCGACCGACCTGCGGGAAGAGATGACTATGGCGACGAGCGCGAGGCCCGCGGCGGCCGTGGCCCCGACGGCGACGGCGGTGCTCCAGCGGCCGCCGCCGGCGAGGGGGCCGCCGAGGAGGCCCGCGGCCACGCGCTCGACGCAGCCCCACGCCCACATCGGCCGCAGATGCCCGCCGGATCACTCCACAGCTCCCCTCCTGTGCTACTACCCTCGCCGCCGGTGGTGCCCTCGATCGAAAGATTCCGGCCTCCCTGTTACTTTTCCCTGCTGTCGGGTGGCATCACGGAGATTTCCAGGAAGTGGTGCGTGGCTGCGTGCCGTGCGTCACCGACGGGCCGCGTACGTGGCCTTCACGGGCTAACGGACGGGCCGGTCCGTTGCGACACGTCGTGGTCTTCTGGCTCGGTCGGGCGTCACCAGCCCACAACTCACCAGGAATGCTCACTTGCGGTCTCCGTGACGTGATTGGCCAACCGGTTCACTAATCACCTACATTAGTCATTTAGTCATACGAAAATTTTTGGGCTTCTATTAAAGAAGCAGCATTGATTATAAAATCTTTAGTTTTAAGAGCTATAAAGTTTCTGGATGTAACAAATTTATAGTTATGGATTACAAAACTCTGCTTATTTCAACACCTATGTCAGGGCCTCTCGTAGGGTAGCGGGCGCATTACAAGGATATACAATATGATTGATGCCACCATAATAGGAATTAGGATACCAAAGATGGTCATGGTGAGCTCATCTTCATCTAACCACATCTTGAGACTGTCCGCTTCTTGCTTCTGACAATGTACTCCGGCTCCTGCTTGATGTTTTCTTCGATAGTCTCCAACTTGCAGCACTTATCTCAGGCTTTTTTTCTTAAAATCTTGAAATAGGTTGGCATTTGAATAGGGGGCTTATGCGGGTGATTGGTGTTGAGTGTGGAGTGTATTGTTGTGAAGGGGGAGCCGGGGGGGCTTTTCATAGGCGATTGACGACGGGTTTAGAGGGTGGGTGCGCGCCATTATCGTCGGCACTGAGCAACATCGGGGCCTAAGGGAATCAGGTTTGTACGGCACAACAGTGGCAGCATCGGGCCAATGGAGGTGACATCACGAGCGGTGTCGTGGGTCGGTGGTGCGACGTGCGGTGGGTGGCGATGCAGAAGAGACAGCGGCGTGACGCTGAGAGGACGGCACCAGTGTGCGGGAAAATGAGCAAGGGTGAGTGGCCACTGGCGGTGCGCACGGCTTTAATTTCCATGCGGTCTGTTGTGCACTTTGCTGGTTGCATGGGTGTGGAGTAAATGTAGCTAACTTGGGTGCACCCAAGCAACCGGGAAGTGTAGGCGGCGTGGAAGGGAAACACTGGCGGGTCACGAGGTGGGGAGAGCGTCGGCCATGGTGCACTCCCTGCGCGAGCTTCAGTGGAGGGAGGAAAAAGGAGGGGAGAGGGGTCCGCTCAATGAGGAGGTGTGTGAGCGGCCGTGCCCAAAAAGAAGAAAAAGGAGGGGTCCGGTACGGGGGCGAGGGCGAGAGTCGAGAGCCGACAAGGTGCGGGAAAAGGAGAGAAAACGAACTGTGCGAGTGAACAAGGCGAGTGCGGCATAGCCAAGCGAGAGCTGAACGCAAGTGGGTCCCGGTATTGACAGCGTCCGCAGGTGTCGATGCGTGCGTAGCGCGGTCAAACCAAACAGTGGGATTGGGACATGGCGTCAGTTTAAGCATTTCAATCACTCCAGACTACTCGAATACTAACTTTTCCTTGTTGCTCTTCTCTCTCTTCAGAAACCGTATTAACTCAGTTACTTCGAAAAAGCACTACTTCATCAACCTGTTGTGGATTTTCCGTTAGAACACAAGGATATTTTTTCAAAGGAGAATATTTTGTTGCGAGAGCGATACGGTGGTGTAACTTGGCAAAGGTGCTTGGTTAACCACCTCTATACCAGCGCGTGCCAAGCAACCTCGCCATGTGGTAGCTGTTCCACAGAGCCCTCTATTTCGTCGCGGCACCATAAGCATTTAACTAGGCAACTTTACCAACTTACATGCAATGAAAGCAATGGGGTCACTAACCACGGAACCAGGGGAGGATTGCAGGGGAAGATTCAGACAACAAGGGTTCCTTTCACGGCAAGGGGCCAGGAAATCAAATCCCACAACGGATTTAATTTTTAAGGAAATCCAAGTGTTCTGCTGGGACATCCACAATTTGTTGATACAATGTTCTCATCATCCAATCATAGTTGGTCTGCTTGCATCTAAATGGTTGCTTTTCTTGTAACCCGCTTGATTTTTGCCTCGAGAACCCTAAGTAAATCTAACGAGGTCTAAGGGTAAATCGACATAACAAACACAACGGATAAAGCAAAATGCACGTCCCAAACGCCCTTATATGGGTACAACCTACAGGTACTCACTCTCCCATTCTCGACACATCATTTGCCTCCTACGACCCAATGATTCTTAATATCTATGGATAAAATACAACGGAAAGATTACAACACTACAGAAAGGCGATGAAAAGCACTACTAACTACGGGTATATGTCCCCTAGGACAACTCATCTACTTCGTCGGACCAAACGGCTTCATTCCTGGGCTCGGTTGGTTCTTCTTCTGCACTGGCTAAGGATCTGCCTCCTCTCGTGGTGGTGGCTAAATGAGGGGAAGCAATGACTCTACTTCTGATACCTCCAAGGGTGGAGGTGTTGGTGGTACTACAACACCGGTTCTCTTTCTTTCCGGCGGGTGGACAGGGATTCCCTCCAAGACCAAGGGTTCCTGCCTTTCTGTGTCAAGCGTCCTACGCTTGGCCCTTGTGACTAGATAAGCATCCTCCAGCTGCTGGGTGTGCCAATCTTTAGCCTCCTTCAGGGCTTCCGCCATGGCAGTCTCACGACTTTCTGCGGCTGCCACATTGGCGTGCGCCTCAGCGAGTTGCACTTCGAGCATCCTAGAGAAGATCTTGGCTTCCTTGGCTCGGCGGAGGCACTTCCTCAGCTCCGAGGCCTACCGGTCATACTGCTCATCCAGAGCAATCAAATACGTGGCCAGATGTACCACAATTAGGCTGTCTTCTTGCGCGTCCTGCCCTTGCAAAGCCTCCATGCGAGCCCTCCATACCCATCGATTCTTTTCCAAAGGTGGAAAGAACTTCATGGGGGTATGAGAAATGGGCTCTTCATAGATCTGGCAAAGATGTCGCAAGGCTTTGTGGGCCACAACTTGGTAGGTGTCGACGAAGCGAAACCTGGTTGCGGTCATATTCCAGGCTTCAGTGATATCGAGGAACTCCTCACTCTTCCCAATGTAGACGATGACCTCACATCACTCAGTGCCATGTTTCTCATACTCACGACCCTCATACTCGGGGCGATCCTTGACTCTGAGTTTTTGCAAGGTGGCATACAGGATATTGGGAAAACCCTCAGTGTTCAGGCAATAGCTGCTAGCCTAGGCTCCTACCATCCTTGGTGGATGGTGGTTACAAGGAAGGATCGAGCGAGAAGCTTGCTCGGGAGAAAGGCTAGGTGAGCTGAGATTCACCAAGTGGTGGTACCAAGTGGCTAGGCTAGGCCTTTTGTAATGGCAGAGCGGTCATTGGTCCTGGCGCAGTCCACCATTGAGTCTGGTGCGGAGACCAATAAAAGGAAAGTGGCATGATTTTTGCGCGCACGAGATGAGCAGTGTCCGAGGCCATTCCCTAAGGTATCCATAAATTCACTCAGTAAATTTGAAAGCACTAGACATCTTCACCTATGCATGGTGGGTCGAAAGCAGGTGGACACATTTAATGCCTCCCCTCCATGCTACCATCAGATAAAAACAAGTCGGGCAGGTGGACACATTTAATGCCTCTCCTCCTTACCATCAGATAAAAATAATTCACCGATCATGCAGGAACATTTGTACTTACACATGCATCCATGCATCTAAGAGATGGCTTGGGTTGTGTGCACTTTGCTCCCGAGGTGGTCGGTGGTTGGGGTTGGTCGCCATTAATACGGCTACCATACTTGCATCTGCACCCATGCATGCAGAGGCGCCCATTCCTTGTGGCTTTGTGCTTCGCATCGCTTGTGGTTCACGCCTGCCGTGACCCGTGTCTCCCCGTACTCTTTTTTGGCCTCTTTGTCAGAACCTTGTCTTGCAGCCGTATTAGTCATTAATGGCCTCGGACATCGCTCGCCCCGAATGCGCAAAAAATTCGGTCGATTCATTTATAGTGATCTCGTGCTAAAACCTTGGTGGACCGCGCCAGGACCACTGACCGCTCTGCCTTTATAAGCAGGGTCTGGCTTAACCATTGGTACCACCACTTGGTGCACTTTAGCTCGCCTAGCTTTTCCTTTTGAGCCAGCGTTTAGCTCAGTCCTTCCTTGAAACCACTGCCAGCGATGGCAGGAGGCTGGGTTAGTAGTTACTGTCTGAACACTGAGGGTTTTCCCAAGATCCTATAGGCCATCCTGCAAAAGCTCAGAGTCAAAGATCATCCCGAGTATGAGGGCCGTGAGTATGAAAAGCATGGCACTGAGCGGTGTGAAGTTACCATCTATATTGGGAAGAGTGAGAGTTCCCCGACATCACTGAAGCCTGGAATGTGACCGCAACCGAGTTTCGCTTCGTCGACACCTACCAAGTTGTGGCCCGCAAAGCCTTGCGGTACCTTTGCCAGATCTATGAAGAGCCCGTTGCCCGTACCCCCATGAGGCTCTTTCCACCTTTGGAAAAGAATCGACGGGCATGGAGGGCTCGCATGGAGGCTTTGCAAGGGCGGGATGCACAAGAAGATAGTCCTACCATGGTGCACTTGACAACGTACGTGCTTGCTCTGGATGACCAGTATGACTGGCAAGCCTCGAAGCTGAGGAAGTGCCTTCGGCGAGCCGAGGAAGCCGAGATCTTCTCCAGGATGCTCCAGGTGCAGCTTGCCGAGGCGCATACCAGTGCGGCAACCGCTGAGATTCGGGAGACTGCCATGTCGGAAGCTCTGAAGGAGGCTGAAGATCGACATGCCCATCGGTTGGGAGAGGCCTACCTTGTCACCAAGGCCAAGCAGAGGACGCTGGCTGCTGAACGGCAGGATCTCTTGATCGTGAAGGGGATCCCTGTCCACCCGCCAGAAAGAAGGAGAACCGGTGCTGCAGTACCGCCAGCACCTCCAC